TTCCGATCTGTGCGGTCTGGATGCCCCTGAGGCCAAGTAGTCGGGCTCAGGAGCGGCGGCCGCGGGTGCGTCCTTGGAGACTTCGGTCTTCCAGCGCTCGGCCGAGGGCGAATCCGGGACCACAAATACCTTCCTGGCTTGGAGGATCGGCGGGCCCTTCTCAGTCTTCGCGCGACAGAGGGACGTGCAAGCCTTCAGACTTCATTATTATTATTATCATCATCATCAAGCCTTTTCATTTAACGCGTAAAGCTGTATCCTGGCCATGCAGATTTTCAGGCCGGTGGTTGGGTAAAGTTGTCTACGGCTCGGTCCATTGCGCTTTACGCCGAACTTAGTTTCATCGGCCTAACTTTCCCGCAAGCGTACGTAAGCCGTTTTTCCGCCAGGCGCCTTCCGGAGGTGTAGGAGTGCAACTCCCCAGCTATCCTGATCCTGCGCTCTAGGGCCGAAGAGCACTTGGACGCCCGCTGAGACACGGCGGTTCAATGCGGTGCGTATGTTTAGAAGGCGGGTACGTGGGAGAGGAAAGGGTCCGGTTCTGCCGCTGGGCTGCACACGCGATTGCTTTTTACGCGGGCTCTGGCTGTCCTAGCCTGAGCAACAGAGCAGAGGGCGATTTCGTCTTAGGAAGGCAGCAAAATCCTGTTGGGGCAAATCACGTTTGAGTAAAGAAGTCAAGACCGCCCTGTTCTTGTCACTGCTCTTAGGTAACCTGCCTTTCCATTTTTAAACCGGTTGCCGTATGATCTGTAGAAGTCCGATGTTTCTACTAACATTTGGATTATGTTTGAATCTGACGCTTAGCTCTAAAAAAGGCATAACATGGAAAACTGTTATTTATTAAATGCTTATTATTTTATTTTTCCAGAGGTAGGGAGAGGGATTTTCTGTTTTAGACGCCAAAATGCAATGACAATCACAATTGTTATGTACCTTGATTTAGGAAGGCGGGAGTTCTGATTCTGGCAGCAAAATGTTTTGAGTCGTTCCTCTCTGTGTAGGTTTGTGCTGTAAGAAGCATTGTAAACTGCTTTATACTGAATCAGATAATCTGTTTTATCATCATAATCATTGGTTGACAGTGGTTTCAGATAAAATTATTTCCAAGACGGTGTTACTATAAAATTTGGACCTGAAGATATTGTGTTGGGGAAGGGAGGAATGAGTCCGATCATGAATAAATAATATCCATTATAATTAGTATTGCCTATTTTCTAGAATATTCCACACGGCCCATTTAGCTCAGAAAAGAAGAGTACAAAGGCTTTTCAAAATATATGTATACATAGGGAATACGCTAATATGTTCTATGGTAACTAGTGATCCCAACAATAAATCACAACCTCCAAACCACTCTGGGTTCCACCAAAGGCTCATCTAGACCCCAGATGTTTTATTTCAGTTGTTGGACTAAGTGTTGGCCACTATAACTTTTGTTTAGACTCAAGAATATTTTATAACTGCATTTTTAATTGCAATAGATTAATACAGCTTCCCCTAACCTGCTGTCCTCCACTTGTGTTAGGATGATAATTTCCAGAGTTCCTAGGCAGCACATTTTTTGTTGGGTGATAATTGTAAGTACTGTAGTCCAAGTGTTGTCCCTGATTTGGAACCAGGTTGAGGGATGGTAATTTGGAATTTTCAAGTTCAAAGGCTGTAATCTATACTAATTTATGTTAATATACATGAATTCACTTCTGAATAGACATTAAGAATTATGCAATTAATCAGCTCACTTAATATCACTGCCATCTTTTCCGTTTAAGTGGATTTGGATTTAGAATCACTTTTAATGGTTGTTTGAATTGGATCTTTTCAACTCTCTTCTATGCAACTTTATGTGGAAATTTACAGGTAGTCCTTGACTTATGGCCACAATAAGGACTGGAAAATTCATCAAGTGATGTGATTGTTAAGAGAGGCACATGACTGTACCCAATTTTACGAACTTTTTTGCTAGAGTTGTTAAGTGAATCACTGTGGTCATTAAGCAAGACATCACGTGACCATGATTTGCAGCCTTACCTGGCAGCATCCCCATTGACTTTGCTTGTCAGAAGCCAGCTGGGAAGGTTGCAGATGGCAATCAAGTGACCGCAGGATGCTGCAACCATCGTAAGTGCGTGACAGTTGCCAAGAACCTGAATCACAATCACATGACCATGTGGATGCTGCAATGGTTGTAAGTGCGAGGACTAGTCATAAGTCACTTTTTTCAGCATTGTCATAACTTTGAATGGTCGCTAAATGGATAGTCATAAGTCGAGGGCTACCTGTATACTGTGATACAAAAGTGTTTTTGCTTTTTAGTTTTTTCTAATTAAAATATTCATAAAGATATACATAAATGATACGTACATTTTTAATTTAATCAGTAAAAGCAAAATCTCATTGGCTACACATGCCTGGGTCCTAAGTCTCTCACAGCTGTTATAACATACATTAGCTCTTTCATTATCCAGGTAGGGTATCTTACATAACTTAGATGATAAGTGTCATGTGATATAGGATCATTTCAATAACTTATCCATATGTTTTGAACTGTCCTGCTGGTGAAAAATAGCCATACAAGGGATCTTTTGTTTTTCCTTAGTGATTTCTTAGCAGTTTTCATTTTGAAGTTAACCAGTAATAGTAGAAAACCTGGGATACAGTCATGCTTTGTACAAGGTGTTATTTTATGTGACTTTATATTGTATATTTACTCCTCAATACCACTTGCCATTATTTCATTTATTCATTTATTTTACAGAATTTATAACTAGCCCCAATCCCAAGGGACTCAGGGCTGCAAATAACATAAAACAGAAGGAAGCAACAGCAACCTAATAATAAATAACCAAATCCAAATGAGTACAAGAATTGAAGATAACCACAAAGAAATGCAAAGATACAGTGGGGCAAAAAAGTATTTAGTCAGCCACCAATTGTGCAAGTTCTCCCACTTAAAAAGATGAGAGAGGCCTGTGATTCAGTCTTCCCAGCCTGGTGCAGGTCTACAATTTTGTTTCTGGTGTCCTTCGACAGCTCTTTGGTCTTGGCCATAGTGGAGTTTGGAGTGTGACTCTTTGAGGTTGTGGACAGGTGTCTTTTATACTGGATTCAGTCTTCCCAGCCTGGTGCAGGTCTACAATTTTGTTTCTGGTGTCCTTCGACAGCTCTTTGGTCTTGGCCATAGTGGAGTTTGGAGTGTGACTCTTTGAGGTTGTGGACAGGTGTCTTTTATACTGGATTCAGTCTTCCCAGCCTGGTGCAGGTCTACAATTTTGTTTCTGGTGTCCTTCGACAGCTCTTTGGTCTTGGCCATAGTGGAGTTTGGAGTGTGACTCTTTGAGGTTGTGGACAGGTGTCTTTTATACTGGGTTGCTGTTGCTTCCTTCTGTTTTATGTTATTTGCAGCCCTGAGTCCCTTGGGTGGAAACATCATGCTTTGGGGCTGTTTTTCTGCAAAGGGACCAGGACGACTGATCCGTGTAAAGGAATACACTGAACATTCTTGGCATATAAAAGAAACATTATATTCTCAGTCACAATCTTTTATTGTTTTTATATGCTGGTTATGCCTGCAGTCAATCAGATCTTGACACACACTTGCAAAATTGCAAACAGGAGACCAGTTGTTTCTGGAAATGGGTGTTCTGCTACTGAACAGTGGTTCCTCCAGAAGGAAAACATCTCTCAGTACATGATGTGTAACAGGATTAGGCAAGTTAGAGCCTATGGACAGGTCTTTTTCAAAGCCAGCTGGGCTTAGAAATTGTGTAGAAAAACCACTTGGCTATGAGTCTGAATTTATCCCTGTTGTCTATGAAGACATAAATTTATTCCATGTGGAGGGGGGAGGGCTCTCAAAAAAGATTGATTTAAATCAATATTTATATGGAAGAGCAGGATGCTCTGGAACTGTGTAGTGTGATAAGTATTTCCTGGATCTTATTACTATGAACCCTGTATACCATATTATGTTATTGGGGGTGGGTGGGTGTTGTGATTTACTAGCATGGGTGTTTTATTGTATATTTTTGTTACTGTAAACCAGAAGGAATCTAGAATGATTCAGTGGCATACAATGATGATGATGCAGGTGTCTTTTGAAATTTGGCCAGATTCGAGCCTTGATGAAGAGCTTACACAACATGCGGCATGCCAGTCACAGGCCTTAAAGGAGCTACGTTATGCTATTTTTTAAATATATGCCATAGATCAAATAGCTCATGGCCTTTGTGCCTCTTACCTGAATAGTTGGTAGAACATGCTTATTACTATTCTGATTGGCAAAACACAAAATAGCATTTGTGAGACTTGGGCCCACAGAGAAATGCTCCTTGTCTGTTTATTCCAGATTGTAAAAGTATTACAAGAGACTGGAAGGTATTTGAATGATCAATTGATGCAAATACCATCAGTTTCCCAAGAGGAGCATCAAAAAAGAACCTCTTGACAATACTGCTACAGGTAGTCCTCGAATTATGACCATTTGTTTAACGACCATTCGAAGTTACAATGGTGCTGAAAAAAGTGACTTATGACCAGCCTGCGCACCTATGGTGGTCACAGCATCCCCGTGGTCATGTGAACAAAATTCAGATGTTTGGCAACCGGCATGTATTTATGACAGTTGCAGTGTCCCAGGGTCACGTGATTGCCATTTGCTACCTTCCCAGGGGGCTTCCAACAAGCAAAGTCAATGGGAGAAGCCGGATTTGCTTAACAACTGTGTGATTCACTTAACAACCATGGCAAAAAAGATTGTAAAAGTGGGCATGACTCACGACTGCATCACTTAGCAATGGAAATTCTGGTCCTAATTGTTGTAAGTTGAGATCTGTACTTGGTTCTGTCATGACTGACAGCAAGGTTGTTCTCACTGCAGTATGCGAAGTGTCTCAAATCCACTTCAAATGTAGATAGAATGGCTGTGTTATTTGTATACAGGTAGTCCTTGCTTACCGACCACTTGTTCAGCAAACGTTTGAAGTTGCAGCGGTGCTGAACAAGGAGTACTTATAACCAATCCTTGAAGTTCCGGCCATTGCAGTATCCCGTGGTCATGTGAACGCCATTTGCGACTGTCTCTGCCAGCTTCCCATAAGCAAATCAATGGGGAAGTCCGCAGGGAAAACCACAAGTCGCTCTGGTAAGTCCCCCCCCTTCCTGCATACTGTGCTGCGCCCTCCTTCCCTGGGCCTCTCTGCCCTCGTACACATGCACTCGCAGCACCCCCCTCCCCCAACTCATGTGTGGCCTATACCAGGCCTCCCCCACCTCCCTGCAGCACCCCCATGCTCCTTACCGCGGACTTCCACTGCTTCCTGCTTAATGACCCATGCGTCTTGGAGTTATGATGGCAACTGGTACTGCCTGAATTGCCGTAGCTCAGCAATGCGGTCACGTGACAGTATGCTTTATGACTGCATTGCTTAGCGAAGGCAATCCTGGTCCAAATTGCTGTCCTAACTCAAGGACTATCTGTACACTATAAGTAAA